CCTGGTTCTCGTGTGTCTGGATCTCTGCCTCGATTGCCTTCCTTATGTCTGCCACTTGGACCTTCCCTTTCTCACTTTCTTCCACTCTGGATGTATCAACCGTGTAGAACAGGGTATCCGTGAAGGTCGTCGGCGTTGTGTTCGACAGGGAGATGGTTCGCAGTCCACTTGGTTGGCTTGCTGGCGGCGTGCGAGCAACCTCCGCGTATGACGCCCTTGGGCTCGTCTGAGTTGTATGAGGAGGGGCTGCGTTGCGTACGAGGGCGTCTATCTGGTCTCGGGCTTGTCTCAGCTCCTCAGAGAGCTGCTGAATCGCGTCTTGCTGTTTGTAAACCACGTCGCGCAGTTCGCAGATTGTGTTCCGTTGTTCGGCAATTATCTCGCGCGTCTCGTTTTGTTGTTCGTTGATTGCTTCTAGGAGCGTTTGGAGCGCTGTTTTCCCCGCTTCCGCCTGGCCGTTGGCTCCGCTCCCGCTTCCCAGTACGCGTGTTCCTCTCGATGCGGTGCTTCGTGTAGCATGGAGTGCGGTTCTTCTCGACGTAATGGCCGCATCCTCCAGCGATTGCATCGCTTCACGGACTTTCGCACTCGGTTTCGGGGTGCGGCTCGGTCGTTTCGGTGAGGGTGGGCGGTCGGCCACCTCGATCACTGCCTCTGGTTGCGCCGCCGCCGCCATCTCGCGATCCCTTGGCAGGGCGGCTCAACTTCCGAAAAAGCCGATTTTCTGTTGGATTGAGCAGACAAGTAACGCCTTCTGAAGGTCGAGGGCCGAGTGACTCGGTCGGCTCGGAATAACCTCACCCGGGATCATGTGACGTAATTGACGTAATTGCAATTCTTCAATTCAATTCAATTCTGGGGCTTCAATCAATCAATTATTCAGAAAGGCCTCAATTCAATCCAATTATGAGGCTTGGATTGGATTGATTGGATTGTTGGGAGCGCTGGTTGGGACAGCTAGGTATGGAAACCATCCTCGAATAACCTCGGTTGTAGCCCCGTTGACCCTCGCATGCTCCATTGCTCTAGCTCTCTGGGTTTTCAAGACTTGGTTCCTATCAGGAACCGTGTCAACCAACGTTTTCCGAGAGTTGTCAGGTCTCCCCGAGCCCGTAGCATCCTCAGGGCAAGCTCCTTGATTTGCGAGTGGGCAGGAGGCAAGCCGAGGGCGACTTGGATAAGAATACATTCCGTCAAGCGGTCTTCCTGGGCCTTGAAAGCCTTTGTAAGCTTTCAAAGACTTCTGCACGGGATTGGTGGCCGTCTCGACGGTCAATCAAGGTGGACCTTTGTATAGCCCATTCTCGGGCGACTGCAGCCACCGGACGTCCATTTTGAACTTGCAAAAGAGCTTGGAAAAATTGTTCTTCAGTATATTTGGCCATCTCAGTTACAGAAGATGCTATTTACTAGAAATGGCGTTCAGAGGACCGGAATTGATGAAGTTGTGGTTGTTGAAGTGGTTGGGCTGTTTGGGTATCAATGCAGGGTTGGGGTGTCGGAAAGTGGGGGGTGGATGAAACCAGGCGCTTTGACTTACTATACCTGTCAGCCTGTCTCTTGCTGCAGCAGGGGCTATCGCGCCTCTGGCGAACATCATCGATCCTTCCGTTGGCGGGCACAGTCATGGTCTGGACAGCATGCATTCGTTTTGCTTGGCTCCATGCGAATAGATCTGTGCGTTTCAGTACCGCAAGGTTCGACATAACTGGCTTCCTAATAGCATCGACAAATCAAGACTCTCAAAGTCGACTCGGTGGTTAAGCATGGAGAGAGGAAGGAAGGAGGAAGACGGAGAGGACGGTATCATTGAGTTGGAAGCAATACAATTGTACAAGGTTGATGGAGAGTGGCATCGACATGAAGTATCAGGCGGCGAGATTCTGTTGATCCGAGCAGAGGGGGAAGAAGATTGATGGAGAAATGTCCAGCAATACCCACCAAATGATAACAAGCACCCACAATTGGTAGTCCAGGTCGGCTAGGGCGCATTGAATGTTGCTTTACTCCGTTATCCTTCCCATCATTCAATACCGAACAGATTGCCCTTACGTGACGTGACTTCTATATGACTCTAGAGACTCGAGATCAACACCGCATCAGCTGCAACCGACACCCTGGTCACATCGTGAACCGAATCTGTTTTTGAATATGCTACCTAGCCTTGGTATGCTGGCGGGAAACATGATGAGACGGTTGTTACACTGCTGGGCTGGATTGCAGGAAGGGCCGTAGGTCCAGGGAAGAATGGGGAGCGCCGCTCGGAACTAATGAGTAGAGGGCGGTAAAATGAAGGAGAACCCAGGTATATTTCCATTTGATCCTGCAACCCGAATTCACCCGCCGAGTTGCTAAAGGCGGGTGCGATGTCACAACCACAAACCTCAAAGTTGTTCGATCCCCCAGCAATGGCTCGGTCTCGCCAGCAGACGCCTATGAGATGTCCCCGTTGTGAAGATGGAACCGTATTGCTATCAAGAACAACACGAAGTGTGCAATAGCAAAGACAGCATAATCCAACAGGCACGAAACCAACCATCTGAAACCATGCTCCAACACGGCCCAATCCATACCCGTGGGAGCCAGCGGCGAGAAACTCCCCAAGGGGTGATGGCGTGCCCAGGTCCGAGACACGGTATTTGCACTACCGCATCACGACATTCCCGATGCAAAGGCCGACGAATGTGGCCTGTTTTCCACCTGGCACCGCGTGCCTGCGAGCTCATCGTGAGCCGGATGGGTGCACACCATGTCAGGCCCGGCAAAACGGGTGGTGGAGGTCGTGGCCCAGTATTGCGCCGAACATTGTCGAATTCAAGGCCTTTCGGCTCAAGAGCATCAATGGAGAGCACCCAGCATCTCAAAATGGCATCGGTTCAGCGACTGCCGCGGGCAACAGTCATGCTAGCCCTCCGAGTCACCTCAACCGGAGTGCTATACTGGTGGACGACGTGGGCAGGGAACGACATGCTGTTTGAAGACGACAAAGAACCACAACATCTAGCCGTCCTAAACTTGATTATCAGCGGCAAGGCGGTGTCATTCCCCATCTACAGCAACCCCATCTTCGTCGCCGCTCCAAGATGCATCGACGGAGCCCACCCCGTCCACGAGCGGGACCTGCCCATGATGCAGGACATCCTGCGCGTCGGCCAGCTCTCGGGGCACATCCACAACAATCACCGGGTGCTTGTCATTGACGCCAAGGGAGTGGCAGACTGTGAGCTTGCGGCGAGGGCTTGGTGTGCTGGGTACGACCAGCATGGACTTGCTTTGACTGTGCGGTGAGAGCGGCGAGCGCCGAGGGGTTGCGTGTTGGATGCTTGATCCGGACCTGACCGAGCGTCGCCAGTCATCACGCCTCTTGTGTACTTCTACGACAGTCACCGTCCATAATCTCTCTGGCGTCCAGCATCTGTGTACGGAAGTCGAAGCGCTGAGGCGACCGAAATCTCAATGCCAGGCACACCAGCGGCACTCCAGACAGGGAGGGTGTGGGAGGCCAACATCATGCCATGTGTTTGTCGTGGCCGGCGACGCCGACGTGCGCTCGAGCGAGGGCATGCAGAGCATGCAGATAAGCGCACAGAGACTCGGACGGGTCTGAACCTAACTACGGCTATAGTGATGGTTGATCGTGCGACTTCCTCTCGTCAAATTGTTATACTGGACCGGCGCCGGGGTTTCACGATGTCGATAGGAGCCGATTCGTCAATTGAAGACGGCACGGACACTTACCAACGGCGACTTCACGTGGTCCGGGCATCGACGCTGCGCTCTAGAAGGGTCACCGTGCGTCACCTCGATCCCGGTTCACGCAGCTGCACCGGAGGTTTCGGCACCGGAGCTTTTTATCTACAAAACGAGAACCAGGGGCAAGCCATCGCTGAGGAGTGAACAGGTACATTTAGCAGAGTAAGGTAGGCGGGCATATCAGGAGAGTAAAAGAAAGGTTAACTTCGAGCCTGGAGTCGAGAAAGACGATCGGTTCAGTTGGCTGACCGACTGGTCGGGGGCCGACTGATGGGTGGTCAGGATGGATGGAAAGTCAAGAAAAAAGATGAGCCCCAGTGTTAGACGAACGTTAGATCCAAGGAGTGTTCCTTCCTATCTCAATCACCTTCCCCGCACTTCAGGTATCATATTCATGCTCCTGTTCCGCATCATGCTTTCTGTCGGTTTCTGTCGGCCATCGGCTGCGCTCGGAACCAGGTAGACAGCTGTGTAAGGTACCGGTCCGTCTCACGCGATCGGGGTATCATCAACACAGCGTCAGCTTCCTCTCGTGCGGTTTCTTGAATTGCACACGTGTACTACGTATATGAATCAGGCACTTGAGGCCTTGCTGATCCTGCGGCAAATTCTCCGTCTCAGCATTTTGAGATGACGCTTGCTCGGTGTCCCCGGGTCCCACTCCCTCGCCACGGCCCGGCCGATCTTCCGATCCCCCGCACTATCCCACCTATATTGTTTGTCCTGGGCTCAGACCTCCTCTGTTTAGTATTGTGATAGTGATGTCTTGCCAGCGGAGGGTAACAAGAGACGCCGTGCTGGCCGATGTACGGTAGTTGTAGGTGTATTCCAGCCGTTGGCACAGGTCGAAGTTCCAAGTTTGGATTGGAGTATCTCAGGCCGACTGACTCGCCTGGCGGGCTGCAAGCCCCTGCTCTTGACAAACTTGGCTAGCACGTCTAACCATGTTTAATTTGGAAGCTGGCTGGCCAGGACGGCGCATCTCGAGGCGAACTGCGAGGTACCGCGATGCATGCTGACTCGCTGATGGGGTTCGTTTGTGGAACACGTCGGTTATTCCCGTTTCCATGCCACTTGACATGTCTTGATTGCCGCCCTCTTTGGCTTCTCTACCCCAGCTATTGCATTATAATCCCATGTGCACTCGACGTGCGAATAAGGTTTACCTTATCATATGAGACATGGATGTCGTCCTCTCGCACAACCCAAAGTTATAACATCATCTAGAGGCAGCATATCGGATCGTCAGAGCTGGCCTCTCCGCTTGTCATCGAGTCTCTCTCGTCATACCTGGAAAGACACCTACGTTTCCTCTATCGTCTCGCTCAATCATGGGTCCCCACCGAGACGGCTCGAGGATTGAGAGCTCTCTGGCCGACATCAAGCTGGCTGGAATTGCGTTCGGCTTCACCTTGGGCTTTGGCTTCCTTACAGTTTGGAAGGCTATAAAGCAGACCATGGCGGTCAGCTCACCTCGGCGAAGCATCTACGTGATCCTCGTTTGGATTGAGATTTTCTCCAATATGGCCATTGCAATCATGGCATGGCTTCTCATGGAAGAGGTGTTGCCGAGTGGGTATGTGGCCCATCTCCGTCCCTCTCCATCAAATCCACCAATACATGGTCGTCTTGTATATGGTTCAGTCGCTGCCCCCCATAAGCTTGCGGCACTAAACTGATCCTTTCTCCAGGAATGTCACTGCTCTGCTTGCAATCTTGATCGTCTGGATCTTTGAGATCCATTGCATCATGCAGATCATCATCAACCGCGTATACGTTGTCGCCGAAGACAAAGACTTTGTCCGGAAGGTCAAATGGGGGACGGCTATTCTCATCTCGGCTATCATCATTGCTGTCAGCTGCATTTGGCTCCCCGCGCATATCATCCCACTGCCAAGTCCAAGGTTAGTTCTTCCCGATTCCATTCGATCGAATGTATCCAATTGTCCACTAACTAGGATGTTCCAAGATTTCTTGCAGCCAATCGGATCTGGGACCCGATTTCGAAGGCGCTTATTGGCGCTGTCGATGCTTCGTTGAATATATGGTTCTTGGTTACTGTTCGACGGGTCGTGAAGTTCTACGGATTGAAAAAGTACGATGTGTTGGTCCGATTCAATGCGCGGCTGATTATTTTTTCGGTGAGCCTCGATGTAAGTATGCCCCCTTATCACTTGCTATGCGAGACGTCGCGATATCTGATGTCGGCACCTTATAGGCGCTTCTTATTGGACTCTTGTTTATGCCAAACCCGTTCATATACCTCATGTTCCACCCGGTAGTGTATATGATCAAGCTCAATATTGAGATGACTATGGCATCCTTGATCTTGAAGCTCGCGCGGGTGCCGTTGGCGGACACTATGGCACTCAGGGAGCGCTCAAGGCCTTCTATGACAGGGAGGCCCAGCGAGACAGTATCTGTTTGAAGAACGGCTTACGCTTTGCCCTTGGGATCGCCTAGCGACGGAGCGTCATGGACAACTTTCGAATTCTCGGCTTTGCATGTGGGCAGTTGGGCTTGTTGTACGCTGGGTTACATGTCTATGTATTGTACCTAAGCAGCGTGAAAGCAACTAGACTTGCAAGTCGGACATGAACAAGGCGTTTTGAATAAGCTCCTATACTGCCCCGCTATACCCTGGGGCTCGGGGCACGTCCTCAAAGATCCGCGGATTGGGACTTTGATGTTTGGGAGTCGGGGATTTGACGAATGAGTTGGCGTGATAACCAGGGACGCGTCTAGTTCCGGGTGAGAACAGCAGTGATTGTGTTATACCATCGAGGGAGAAAAAGCAACATCTGGCCTTGTCTCGTCCCGATCAGTTCGCGGTCGCCAATCGCCATGAAAACGGGCCACGGTACGTTTTGATCTACGGCGCAGAAACGGCCACGGCGGCTTTGCTCGTTCTCGTTCAGATATGGGGGTCGGTTCGTTCCAAAGCTCCCAAGTTCCTGGCTGAAGACTGGAAGGTCTGGCATCATGGCAGCCAAGGTACTGACAACAAGTTGACTCTCAGCTCTGGTCTCACGCCCGTAACGACGTGCTCCCCAGGCCGCTCCGACCGGGTCAAGTCTCTTGGGGCCACTGACGCCTTTGACTACCACTCGCCCTCCGTCGGGAGAGACATTCGGGCATACACCGACAATGATCTGGCCATGGCGGTCCATTGTATTACCACTACTGAATCCATGGCCATATGTTACGAGGCCATGAGTGACGCCGGGGGCAAGTATGTCGCTCTCGACCCCTTCCCGGCGCGGACGCAGACACGCCGGAGTGTGCGGCCATCCTGAGTGTTTTCTTTGACCATACTGGGAGAGCCAGTCCTGTGCAATAAACACTTCAACGCCGACGCAAGACCAAAAACTCGGGCATTTGCAAAAGACCTTGTTTTCGGTGGTGCAGCAGATGCTGGATGAGGGTCAAATCAAGACTCACCATTATGAGGCCAGAACAGGGGGTCTGAAGGGCCTGATTGATGGAGTCGAAGAGGTGCGGAAGGGTCGGGTGGCTGGAAGGAAGCTTGTCTATCAGATTGCTGCTTGAGAGTCGGGGAGTCGCGGGCTGTCTTCCGTTCAGGTCATGGACATGTACCAGGTCTGGTACAGGCAGTCAGGGTCAGGTATCTCCTTGGGGTATTCAAGGGACCTTGCACTGAGTACTAGTACATGTGGAGGCCCAGAGTACCTGTGGTTCAAAACAATGGCATAATATCACCTAGCTTGGTACTCTTCACCTATGGCTTCCCGTATAGCTAAGCCGAAGAAGCATGGCCCTTGCTATCGTGGTTGAAGGAGAGACCGGGGCCCAAAGGATTGTCGATACTCCCATCCCCGCCCACCGCCAATCCGTCTCGTCTCTCTACATTACGTCCAAGTCCAAGCCTGTCCAACGCCTGAGTAGGTAGCGGGCAGCTAGTACGTACTGCCACCAAAACGAGTTCTATTCGTACATGTAGTTCATAGAACGAACAACTGCCTGGTAATTGTTGGCGAGCTTTCGTCTGCAATGCCGCAACCGCATTCAGATACCCCCCGAGACAAATGCCCGGCATATCTTGAACCTGCCATGGTTTTCCGTCTTCATGTTCCCAGCCCGCACCACACCACCCTCCTCTACCCTTGATTCGGACATCTCAGAGCAGGTCCCGTCCGAGTCGAAAGGCCGCCGAACTTAGTCGAGACAACCTATGAGCCCAGCCCGAAGAGAACGAGAGGCATGTGCGACCGGACCGGACCAGACCAGACTTCCAGTTTAATTTGGGGTCTCCCTCTTGGGTGTATCGGTGACGGATGGCCACGCTAGAGACGAGGGTTACGGACCCCGATGTCGCGACCACGCGGTCTTTCTATGTATACATCTCATACCAACAGCCGTCACGGATGCACCCCACTCCAGAGCTCATACCGCTTTACGTCACCATGTAACTCACGAGGTAGCATACGCGTATCCTTTTCCGGAACAGCAGCCTCTCCTCCAGAGGTTATGCCCAACCCCGCAGTCGCGCAGGTTTGAAGTCCGGTGTCACTGCCCCTCATGCCCTTCTCTGATCGATAACCATTACCGCTCCTGTTCCGCCTAGCCAAAAACCAGCCCACAACAATCCCCAGAGCCAAGGCTGCTACAACCCCTACCGCCAGGCCAACCTTGGCTGCTGTGCCTAAGGTGCCATCATTGGCCTCCAATGGTGTTGATGCAGCAGCCCAAGTACTAGAAGACGTAAGGGTGGCAGTGGCCGACACGGTGACTGTCTGTGTCGCCTGTTGCGGACCCTGGTCGGTAAACTTGGACGAAATGTTGAAGAAATGCGAAAGTGCTCTCCCCGCCGTGTCCCCTTGGAAGAAGATGCTGAGAACAAAGACGTTTGAGAAGGCCAGGTTCTTTGCCGTCGCAACGACCCAATGGCTGCTTGAGATATTCACGGCATTGTCTTCAGGGCTCAAGTTGGTTAGGGTTGTACGCCGGGATAGAAATATGAAAGCAGGCGGACTTACGGACGACGTACTCAAACGCCTGGTTGGCCGGTATGTCGCCGTTGGAGCTGTCGGCCTGGTAAACGACAACCGAGAACGGAATGTCGTTGTCCTCGGTGTCTGTCCATGCGGCTTCAATGGCGGAGCCCTCGGCGTAGACTGGGTTTGCCCCGAAATCCGCCGCCGTTCCAGTAAGAGGGGGCGGGGGACTTGTGAATCTGACAGCCAATGCAGGCCCAGAGAATGCGAGTTCAATCGGCAATGTTGAGGGATGCATAATTGATGGCCAGGCGTCGGATCTCGAGAGCCGCAAACTGACCGGGGCCAGGAAGGAAAGGTGTTGAAAGGGGACTTTCTCGAGCTGTGGAACCGGCTGTTGCTCGGAGGTCGTGGGCGATCCTGGACCTGGGAGAAGATCCCGGCCCATTCTTAAAATCCCAAGTTGCAGGCACGACGGTGCTTTGGCTGAGTGGCTCCCGCCACTGCAGCATGTTTCCCCAAGCCCGCAGACCGCAACCCGCTGGTACCGTGCCGCCCTGCCCAGACTCGGCGTCAAGTGAAACGACTGGAGGCGACCCTCTCCCGGTAGGACCCATAATAAGAACACAAGAAATGGGGGCACTCCAAAAGGAGTACTGTCTTGGAGGTGCATGGAACTAACAGCGATTCCCGTCCATTGGCTGGAGAACCGCCAACTACAGAGTTCGCTTCCAACGCACCCAATCACGATGACACCACAAGCGCCAGTTGGTAATGGTACAATACCTCTCAGAAAAAAGCTAGCTTACCGCATCAGATCGGAACATTGTGTTGCAAACCTGTCCAAAGAGCTTTCAGCAGGCTGCCTTGCCTGGCTCACTGGACGAAGTGCCTCGGTCTATGTTGCTGTCTTCACGAATCCTGGCCACTAGTCCGGTCCTAGCGAACCTTGGAGGCAGACGGGGGTCACTGGACGGCTGCCGGAGCGAACGGACAAGGCGACAGACGCTTCAAAAGGGCAGAGAATCCTCCTCCAAATTTACCAGGCACTGTCCGGCATCCTACAGATACAGCCATGGTCAGGTCAGGGGGGAAATATGGAGGGTTGAAGCAAAGGTCGTAGGGATGCTCGTACGAGATTGAACCATATGCTGCTGTCCAAAAGCGGGAGGTCATTGCTGCTTGTAGTTGTGGTTGTGAAACTCCCTGGCATCGAATGGATGAGATCGTCCAATAGAATGTCAACACTGCCACCGCCGCCGCCGCTGCTGCTGTTGGTCATGTTGGCGTTGATGTTGTTTCGCCCGACTCGATGCGTCTCGCCAGAAGTTGCACACACTGAGCCACAACCTTGCACAATTCCTGCCGGCCGAGGGAGGTAAACATGGAGCTAATTTGATCTGACTATCCTCCAGCTAGATCAAAAGCTCAGTACAAAGAAAAATGACGGCCCGCAATGGCGAATCCCAGAAGAGACCGTAGCCAGGCACCAGTAGTCGAGCATACATGTGCTCTGGCTCGGCGGCCTCAAAGCTGTGGCAGGAGTGGAATTGCATCGGAGCGGCGAGAGTGCAAGGTCCAAGCAGACCTTGTGGGAAAAGTAGTACCAGGGATTCATTTTGACCTGACAGCGAAGGAAAATTGCACAACGAGCAGGAAGCGGTATATAACCAGTTCAAACAACTTGATTTGGAAGCCCATTGGACGTTGATACCGGGGGCCAAATGACCGCAAGAGGCGCATATTCTCATCCAGGACGGCTTTCAGCTTGCTGTTAAGGCGCAGCGTCTTATCATACGTCTGCTCCAAACTGAGATCATTGAGGTACTTTGCCCCTTTGAGCCGGGCGGGCAGTGTCCGCATCAGTGCATATCAAATCAATATTGCAGTCCCCTTCCCGGTGAACAAACACCGGGGGCCGCCCGCGCGGGCGGCCGGGCATCGCAAAAATCGAGATGCAGTACCTTTGCGACCTGTTTTCTCGATTCCAAGGGGTTGCAGCTCCGCGCAGCCGCTGCGCGGCCTGTTGGCGGCCGAGGACGTCGATTTCGAGAATCAAAAGTGAGATTCTCGAGCGCCCGAAAATCCCGCACCGCCCCGCCCGACAATCGCGACAACCGACACCAACGACAACAACAAGCTGCAACAAGTTTGCGAGATTAGGGGGATACTGGGTACGAAAACCACCCGACTCTTTCGACGTTCTGAAGAAGAGACAGGGCACCCCCGGCCCTGCCCGGTTCTGGGGGAGCGGAATCAAGAGTCTGGCGGCGCGACCGACCAGTGCGACGAAGCTACGAGGACCGGAGCGAAAGCTGTTGTACGATTCCGATTGCAAGAGTTGTTAATCGACCGAGGAGACGGAGAGTAACGGGTTCGTTAAGGAAGGCACACGGGCGGCCGGCTCTCCTGCAAGGCGCTTTGCCCTCTTGACAAACAGCACACTACAAGAGGAGGAACTACAATGGTGGATCAGGGCTGGTTAGTGGCAGTGCGACC